ATTGTAGAAAACCTTTTATTCAAAGCTGGCAATATTTTAATTTTTTACATGGTCAATTGGAAGCCAGTTCACATTTTGAATCACATTAATAAAACATTGTACAATGATATGTATTTTTGTAAGTTTATATTAAAATATCATTTCATAAAATGAGATAAAATATCAAGTATTTAATACATAATTATATGTATGAAGTCAAATATAAATAAACATGAAGCAGTATTCTGAAACAAAACAAATATCAGAGACAATGGGTATGTATGTGCATGGCCAAGATTAATAGCAAAAGAAAAAAATGTATTGTCATAAAATATTATTCATAAAAAACAGGAAAACAGCAGCTGTTGGACTGTTTTATACAATGTGGTGAGGAACCACAGAGCCCTGGGGAGAAATAGACAATTCTAAATATGTAAGAGATAAAAAGATAGAAAGATAGATGATGGAGATTTCATGAAATGGATTTTGATATGTTAAACAATAGTGACTATAGTTAGGTTTTTGAAGGTAAAACAGGACACTGAACTTCATTTCTTATTTTGACTTGCTCATTGGGTGAATTCAACTAGTTCTGACTTAGAAAGAAGACTGCAAGTTGAAAACCCTTCCAAGCTGTCTGTGGCTTTCTGCCTCTGGAGTCGCTCAGAAATAAGTGAACTATTTCATTGTGAGAGAAAATGAAAGGAGATAGAAAGATGGTACTGAGATAATAAGAGCTTCTTCATTATTCACTGAAGGTTGTAGTAATTATGCTTGAAGAGAGATGCTTTTATACTACGAACTCACCTTTCTTGGCAAAGCCCTGTTCTTTTCTTGGATCCAAGGCACTTGAGACTGAGATGAATGGGCTCCCATTTTGAAACCTCACTGATGTGCATTCTCCTTAGAAATTTTATAGTCTGACAAATCTCACGTCTTACAATCTGATTTACTTTACCATATATCATTTTATTTTATCTCCGTTTGACAGAAAATTTTTTTACGTGTTCATTCTTTAATTGGCATATGGCCCAAATTAGTTTTATGAAAAAATAATAGACAGGATCTTCAGAGTTTTTAATTAGGTCAAGTCAATTTTCTCTTCTTCTTAAGCCAAGGGCGTCATTATTAGAAAGTGCCTAATGTGATACAGGATTTCAAAAGCAGCACAATCGATGGCTTTTCCATTGTCAGGGAATAATAGGGCTGAAGCTTAATTACATTTCAAAAATGAACAGCAAAAAAACTCAAGGTACAGTAGCCTTTTATCTCAGGTTTTCTGAGGTCAAAATTTATAAAAGTAGAGATAAAAATCAGTCGATTTTCTCTGAATGTTTAGTGTATACTGTAGACTCATCAGTCCTTTGCAGTGAAGTGCTATAATGTTGTGATAGTTCAATGCTGGGAAGTCATTATGACTTCAAATAGGTAGATGTTATTTGATTTTAAATAACATTTTTTGTCCTTTTATACACATAGAAAGCTTAATTCACCTAAAATGCTTTTACCATAGTGATTTCAGCATTGCAGTTTGTTACATTCCTTTTACTGCAGAATATTTGAAACAATGTACTGTAAAATCTCCTATGTGCCCTAAACTGGATTCAACCACCATTAAAAAAAAAGAAAAAAGTTACACTTGGCCAAAATTCAGTCCATTTAAGATAATTTCTTAAGTTAATGTAATTGAAAGCTATAGTGATAAGCTCTTTTAATATTTGTAGTATTACTACTAGTAAAATCCTATATAGAAATGCTCTAATTATTTAAATGCACTCTCATCAAAATACCTCATATGGTATATGTATTAGAGATTTTAAAGGCAGTGTAGTTACTCCTACTGTATAGATAAGGAAATTGAGGCTGACAATATTAAATGCCTTGCCCAAGTTTATACAGCAGGATTACTAAATGTGTGTGTGTGTGTGTGTGTGTGTGTGTTTAATAGGAGGCATGAGACAAAGCCTGCCTTAAGACTTGGATTCCGTCCTGTGATATTTGCCTGTGAACATTTTAACCCAAACACTAATTAGTGTCACTTTGGGGGAAATGAGAAACAAATGGAGAATATGTCTCTGATCTGAAGGGAAGAGTCATGGTTAGAATTTTCCATAAAGAACAAAGACAAGCTTATCTCCTAACTGGCATTAGAGCTGGAGCTGATTCTCCCAAACGGTGGTGATTTTAAGGTGTACAGATAAACCAGGAGTTTTCATGTCTGCTTTATTGCAGATTTAATTTTAACTCCTTTATAAAAAAAAAAAAAAGCAAAAAGGTGCTTGAGTGAGCATTAAACTTGCCTCACTTTGCTACCCCAACCTACTTCTTCTTCCCCCATTGCTTCCTTCTAAGCAAACGACCCTTGTCAATTTCTCTAGCTTCTCTAGATAAACAGGCACCAGGCAGCCTCTTCCTTTCATAATTAGAATCCAAAGTACCATCTCAAAGGTAAATTATACTTTGCCGAAGGAAAGCTGTTACAATTAAAATATCCTGGGGCCCATGGGTGGCTAGGTGGTTAAGCCTCAGACACTTGATTTCGCCTCAGGTCATAATCTCAGGGCTTATGAAGGGCCCCATGTTGATTTCTACCAGTGGTGCAGAGCCTGCTTGGGATTCTCTCTTTCCCTCTCTCCTCTCTCTGTACCTCCCCCGTTCAAATGCTCTCTCCCTCTCAAAAAAAAATTAAAAAATAATGGTAATTTCCCTAAAGATTTAGATAAAATATCATTAATGAAACTATGAATGTTCATAATATTGGTAAATGTTAATGATTCAAGTTCAGAAAAATAGTCATATATACACATTAGTTTTATATATATATATATATATGAATCCAAAACAAGATTAAATATTTAATACTGCTTATTTATTTTTTATTTTTACTTTTTTTTAGTTTATTTATTTATTTTGAGAGAGAGAGAGAGCACAAGCAGGGGAGGGGCAGAGGGAAGGAGAGAGAGAATCCAAAGCAGGCTTTGCACTGTCAACACAGAGCCAAGTACGGTGCTTGAGCTCATGGACCATGAGATTATGACCTGAGCTGAAACCAAGGGCTCGATACTTCACTGACTAAATCACCCAGGTGCCCCTTTTTTTTTTTAACGTGTTTTTTAAAAATTGTCCTAGATGTACAGATGTTTGAAAATCAAGTACACAAAATTTAGAGAAATAAGCAAAAAGTCTCCATAAAAATTTTCATCCTTATCGCATGTTTATGAAAAAGACTTGTTGAATGAAACAAGAATCATAAGGTGTAATAATTAAAAATTTGACCTTCCCATTGCCCTTTAAAATGTTAAATGCCAAATGTATCCTTCATCTTAAATGATAACATGTGTGAGCCTCTTGATTCTTTTGCCCATTCTAAGATAATATGCATTTCTATGGTCATTTTAAGAGGTAAAAGTGTCCCAATTCAAGAAAGATGCCTAGCATAATGTAATAATCAAAATTTGAAACTGGGTCTCCTGGGTGGCTCAGTCGGTTAAGCGTCCGACTTCGGCTCAGGTCATGATCACATGGTTTGTGGGTTCAAGCCCCACATCAGGCTCTGTGCTGACAGCTAGCTCAGAGCCTGGAGCCTGTTTCAGATTCTGCGATTCCCTCTCTCTCTGACCCTCCCCTGCTCATGCTATGTCTCTCTTTCTCTCTCAGAAATAAATTATTAAAATAATTTAAAAAATAAAATTATGTAAAAATAATCATTTGAAACTAATTTAATATTATCTGTTTTCTTCAGATGAGGCTAAATATTTGCTAAAATCTCTTGCAGAATCTTCTTGATCAGAATCACTTTGCTTTTAAATGACCCCAGGCCAAAAGTCCTTCCATGAGTTCTGTGTCTTGTCCCACGAGTTATACAGATTTGTCACATCAGCAGCAAGGATTGTAGCCATCTTCTAAGTGACCTCTCTGTTTATGCTGCCCTGATGTTTTTAACCAGCGTATCTTCCTAGTTTCCTTACATGTGTTCACATGTCCACTGACTGCAACAGACATATAACAAGTTTCCATAAAACCCCAGGAAGGTGACTCCCTTCTCTCCTCCAAAGCAATTCACAAGACATTCCAAACAACTGTTCCTCATAACCCAAAAGCTTTCCAGTCTCTAAATATTTTCCTAAATATTTGTCACCACTCACTTTGTAATGTAGTAGCATGTATTAGACCCATGACTCAACTGAAATTGGGTTGGAAGAATTCCAAGTTCAGTTGTTGTGTGCATGTATGTCACTAGACTTACAGGAAATTTTTATTTCAAATACAGTGCAGCATCTATTGACACTTAAATAAAACATATTAAAGTGTCTCGTTTAAATGTTAAAAAGGAAATGTTATGCTTTGAGATTGATCCTGTATATTTCCTATATTTTTAAGAAATCCTTTGTTTTAGTTCTTACTTCTGTGAAATTTCTTCAAATTTTACTTATTTTACCTTCAGAAAACATGCTTTACTATTTTTCCAACTTTGTTTTTTTAACTTTGAAAATTTTTCACAGAAAAATTAAATGTACATGTTTGCATGCATGTGGGTGTCCTCCAGAGTCAACCATTGTTATTGTTTTGTTTTATCTGTAATTGTTTATTCTCTGTCTTTTTTTTTTTTTTTTTCTGAACCATTGGAAAGTATGTTGCAGGTCTGTACCAGACCCAGGTTTGGGAACATTCCAGAATTTCTCATTGCTTCTTCTTAGGGCTCAACTCTTGCTATGTTTCCTGACCAAAACAGCCTTGGCAAAGGCTCATGACATTCGTACCACTGTAAAGTTGTAGACACTGATTCTACCATAGATCTAAGAGCCTCATGCCTCAGTGCCTGAGACCACTGTGCCTTCCCCCTGGCTAGATTGGCCACAAAGATTCTGGCCTCCCCATATCCTGCCTGGTAGTCAGGTGATAAAACCTGAAAATGATTCAGAGTGAAGATTCATCAAATTGATTTTGATAATGAGACACAGGAACAAGAAGGAAGAAGCAACCGATAAATGTACTTTCTTCTTCCTTTTCTCCCCTCACAGATGACTTCAAGTTGCAGTACATTTGTACAGTCTCTCTGGAGGTGCCCTATGGAGTCAAACAACCAAGTTGTGAAACTGGTCAGTTCAAGTATACAGCCCCTTGTAATCTCTGTCCCTCTTTCCTTGCCTCACTTCCCCATTGCTCTCATGCCTGTTTCTATGAAATCACACCTCCCCATTAACTGTTAGCACATACACTTTTTTCTCAGGCTCTCTTCTCTAGGGAGTTGGTATAATTGATTCCACGAGTGGCACTAGAAAGTAGAACTTTGGGGCTGGGTTTTGGGGTTGGACTGTTTTCCATTCTGAAGGCAAGAGAAAGCATATTCCTGTTGGTGAAAGGATGGTAACAATCCCTGATATTCAGTGATGTCATGATGACACAGATGTCAAAAACACATAGTGGAAGATCAGTGGCTGTTAGGAGTGACTGACCAGTCCAATGCAATGATATTAGTGTAGTTTATTTCTGATGGCAGTGAAATTCTGGAAAAGACTGACAGGTGAATGACAACATATTGTCAACTTAAAGGCAGATAGTAAAAGCCAGAGGGCTTTTTATGATGACACTAAAGGAGACTTTCATCTTCCTGTAGTCTCACTGGTTGTCACTGAAAAATCCATCAGTAAGGAGGAAAGACCCAATGGATTTACTTGAAAATATGGTCAATGATAGATCTAAATGGGAAGTCACAAAAACTGTGGATCAACCGAGATGAGGCAATTAAAAGTTTCAAATACATAAGAAAGAAACTCTGGAACACCTGACAGGTAAGTGATCCAGAATACCTAAATTTTTGATCAAGTATGATGAAAATCTAGAATGGGAGATGGAAAATTAAAAAAAAAAAAAAAAAAGACTTCCAGAACATCTACAACATGAGAACAATAACTTGGTTTGCTAACATTCCTATCTAATCTAGTTTTCAGAGATTGCAACAAGTCCTCACTTTGAAAGTATGGGGGTGAGTCTCGATTCCAAGAGAAGTGAGAAGGTTTTGATCTCACATGAGATATGGATGTTGTAAAATGATGTCAGAGGCCAGTGAACCATACAATATTCAAACTTTGTAGCCCTCCAGATCTGCCTGAGTTCTCCCACTATCCCCACCTCCATCCTGGCTGCCTGCCTTGCTTCCTGGCCAGAATAGAGCTTACACATTTAAGAAGTAGTAAAATGATTTAAGGTACTGCTCTATGTTGCTGACATTACTTCTATCACAGACTAAAAAATCACATGTTTGGGGGCGCCTGGGTGGCTTAGTCGGTTAAGCGTCCGACTTTCGCTTGGGTCATGATCTCGTGGTTCGTGGGTTCGAGCCCCGCGTCGGGCTCTGTGCTGACTGTCGGCTCAGAGCCTGGAGCCTGTTTCAGAGTCTGTATCTCCCTCTCTCTCTGACCCTCTCCTGCTCACGCTGTCTCTCTCTATCTCTCCTAGAAATAAATAAAAATATTTTAAAAAAAATCACATGTTTGTAACCCACTGACTGGAGAAACCCATGACCAGAACCTGGCTGGACTGTACTTACAGATAATGTTGCTTCACCAGAGGCTCTCTGGTGGAACTGAGAGACATGACCTGATAGTTCAAGAAAGTCAACTTTACATTAGTTGGATGTTGACCACTAAGCCATAAGAGATGGGAAGAACTAATGGGTAAGTAGTTTGCCATCTCAGACCTACAGTACTGCAGCTTCATACAGACTTTCTAAGAGATGCCCTTAAGACAGATCAACCAGCTTTAGTCTTCTGCAAAGCTATGTCTCAAGTGTTTAATGAACTCCTTGAATTTGATTGTCTTCCCTGCCTCACTAACATTTCCTCTCAGGCTTTCTATCTTGCCCTCAAAAGAATGTTACCCCATCTACATTTGTCTCCACCCGTTAGGAGCTGTTTTCTAGGAAATACACACTAAAATAAGACATTGTTTCCTCAGCAGGCACCCCTAAAAATAGAGATATTCTTCTGTATAACCACAATACCATTATCACAGCAAAGGAGGTTAATAAGCCTATAAGTGCATATCTCCTAGAATACCTTTTCTAGTTATTCATTTTTAATATAAGTATACAGCTAATATTCACACAGTGCATTTATTTATTGTGCCTATTTTAGCTTCTGTTAATCAGAATACCTCTTCCATTTTTATGACATTGAAGTTTGATATATTCTGGCTAGAATTTTTGAATGCTTCCTCATGGTGACATTTGCTTTGTACCTCTCTCTTCTTGTGAATAAGGCAAGCTGAGTATACACTGGGCTTTGAAAATACCAGAATTTGCAGATCTTCATTTTATAATAACAGTACCCACACTAGCTTGGCTAAATTTTCCACAAGTCATTCAGTAAATTTGTTTAGAGAAGAACTCTTTCATTTTTGTTTAGTGTTATTAGGCTCACTTTTAGATATTTGACAGTTCTTTATCAGGTCATTATTTCTCTGATACCCCATCACATTTTTCACCCCTGCCTTTTATAAAGGTCTTCAAATTTGGAGGATTTCCTAGTCTTTGGGAAAAATTTTCTGTCTTTTTGATAGTACTAAATTCAGGCTGTGTTCTAGAGAGTAGCTTTTTAAAACACACTCTATTCATTGGTTAAGATACTTTTAAAAATTTTTTTCATATTGCAGAATTTAATTGAAAACTTTTTTGTGTTGGTAGAGAAACTTAAATTCTATCTATTGCTGTGGGTTAATACTTCAGTTGCAATTAATTTACCACCATCTAATGAGCTTTCAAAAAGGAAAGGTTAAAAATATCATTTGTAAAAATGTGACCTGAAAGTTGTGCTTATCACATCTGCTTGCATCATTTGGCACAAACTTAATCAATGGCCATACATAGCTACAATGGAGCCTGAGAAGGGCATTCTCCAGCTGGATAACACTGTGCAAGAAAAGCCAGATTGTTCTATTGTAAGAAGGAAGAATGAATCATGGAATGATTAGCACTTTTAGTAACGCAGTTTGTCCTAAATTTCCAAGAACTTCAGAGCATGTTTAAGGCTCTGGAATGGGGTTCCATTTGTTACTGTCTTGGTTTGTGGATTGCAATTTGCTCTCTTTATTATATTCTTTCTAATTATCTAAATCATATCATCTCTTGTTCCTGACTTCACATTGAATATTTTGAAGTTGTCTTTAACATCAGTGCTATAAACAGAATATGTGTGTTCCTCAAAAATTCATACACTAACTCCTAATGTCCCATATGATTATATTAGGATTTGGGACCTTTGGGAATGTGATTTAGGTCATGAATGTCCAACCCTCATGAATGGAATTAGTGCTCTTATAAAAGATGCTCCAGTGAGCTCCCTCGCCCCTTCCACCATGTAAGGACACTGTAGGAAGATGTTTGGCTATGAACCAGACACACTTATCAGATACCAGTTCTGCTGCCATGTTGATATTAGACTTCAGCTTCCAGAACTGTGAGAAATAATATTCTGTTGTGTACAAGACACCCAGTAGTTGTTATTCTATTATAGAAGCCCTACTGGATTAAGACTGTCAGTAACTAGATTTTCAGAAATAGAAACTCTGTAATTTGGTTTAATGTATTTCTTAATTCTCTAATTAGTTCCTCTGGGATTTTATTATTTTTTTTCTTAATCCAAACTCTATCATCTTACTTTGACTTCTGGCTTTAGTGAACTTATTTCTTATTGTTTCTCTTCAGTTTCATCTGTGGAAATTTACTTTTTTCTTTTTCTCTCCGTCATTGTGTATAGTAAAACTTTGATTTGCGGACATAATTCATTCTGGAAGCATGCTTGTAATCCAAAGCTCTTGTATATCAAAGCAAATTTTACCATGTGTAATAATGGAAATTCAGGTGATTCTTTCCATGACCTAAAAATATTCATACAAAAAAGTTATAATACTATTATATAATACAAAAGAATAAATAAAATACAAAATACAAAGAAGAGTAAATAAATTAACCTACACTTACCTGTGAAAACCTTCATGGCTGTTATGAGGGAGAAAAGAGTGGAAGATTATTGTGTAGGATGACTTTCACTATCACTAACAGAATCACTGTTATCTATTTACTCAACGGAATCATCTGCATTGGGGGTCATTGTATATGCTCACATGGATGTTAACTACAGTACAGTATTAATAAACTCTTATCATATACTGTATTTATTATAACTGGCAATAAGGCAGCAGAGGAAAGTGTCTATATCTGCAGGCAGCCTGATCTATAATGAAACAAAGCATTCTTATGCTTACTCTTGTATGGAAGAGCAAAGGACTGTCCGTAGGTGCTTCAAAGTGACAAAAATACACTAGTGCCAGTTTTGGATGCCTTCCAACATTCTTAAAAATCACTGATTTCTGCCAAACACTGCAGCCTGAGACTAAGCATCTGAGCATGGAAGATAATTACCCACAATCCCACAGTGAGAAAGAGAGAGAAGAACCATTGGCTCAGTTGTGATCATATGACACTCAGCATCACATACTACTCATATTGCAAATTACTCATTTATCAAGTTAAAATTTATTAGAAATGTTCTCTTGTCTTGGGGAACACTTACAGAACAAGTTATTCACAATCCAAGGTTTTACTGTATTTTCTTTTGCATTTAGTCTGCCTTCTAATTTTTAAAACAGAAATTACTTAATTTTAAAGTTTTATTTTCCCTTTAAAAATATTAACTCTCATATTTACATCATGCTACATATTTTCTTTTTAATAATTTCAAAATTAGTATGGTAAGCTTTGTTCAGATTTTCAAATTAGTCTGACGTAATGTGTACATATCCCACATCACATGATATGCTTCTCTGTATAACTGACAACCTTACTCTTTGAAGAACAGTTTAGGTACTAGGTATTGTAGTATGTAGATTATGCCATTGTGAAGAAGCAAGACTAAAAAGGGGGGAAAATTGGTAGGTGTTGTGTGCAGGTTCTTTCTTCCATAACTGAATAATGCTGTAGTGGGCTGAATTATTCTCTTCCAAAATTTTTGTGTTGAAGTCCAAACCCCATTGCTTAGAATAAGCATGATATGGAGGTAGGGTCTTTAAAGAGGAAATTAGGTAAAAATGAAGTCACAGGGGTGTGTACCCTAATCCAAAATGACTTTTGACCTTATAAGAAGAGAAGATTATGACACAAGCACACAGAGAGGAAAGACCATGTGAAGACAGAGAAGATGGCCATCTACAAGCCAAGGAAAGAGGCCTTGGAAGAAACCAACACTAAGACACCTGGATTTCATACTTCTAGGCTACAGAATTGTAAGAATTTCCATTGTTTAAGCCACCAGTCTGGGGCAATTTGTTTTGACAGCCCCAGCAAACAAATACAAATGTTTTCTGCATTCTCTTCTGAGGTTATATATGTGAAATATCCTGTGCACTGTTTAATCAACCACAATGAGTATATTGTCTTCCTGTACATGTGTACAATCTTCTTGTTTAGAAATTCACTCAATTCACTATGAAGAAATGAAAAAGTGATTTTTTTCTTGCCTCTGATAAAATGCTCATATCCTGTCATAGGAACATCTAATACAAAAATTTTTTGAATTTCTCTTGGCCTGCCAACTCTTCTATTCTGCATGCTTATGATTAAATTCCAGAGTATTTGTTTGGATCTTCAGAATTTTGTGAATTATGTTCTGTCTGATGCAGCTCTTCTCAGAATTAAATGTGTGGCCAGACTGGAATACTCTATTTTCTCTCATGTACAGACTCTCTCTTTTTCTTTTTAAATTTCAAATTTAAACCACATTTCATTA